ATATGTGCGACCCCGAGCCTCGCCCGGTCAGCCAGTATACTAAATACAATAGATAGGAAGGAATGTGGGGGCCTAAAAGGGTGTATTTACCAATTACTTGCTCATCTGCTGCTTCTTTCGCTCGATGTACTTGGCGTTTCGGGCGGTCAGCTTGCGAGGGCGGCTGCGCCTCTTTTTCTTCTTGGGGTACCAGTCAGGGCCCATCGCCTTCTCGACAGGCTTTTCTGGCGGCGCACTTCGGCTGAATCAGGTGGTGGGGGCTTTTCCTCCCAGAACTCAACTGCTTTTGGGCCGTTCTCGCAGGCAATACAGCGCCGCACGATGTCCCGCCCGCCTGATTGTTAGGGAAAGGGGTTAACCGCAAAGGCCACCTTCCGCCAACAGAAGCCATGCCTCTCGGAATTCGTTGTAGATCGCTGTGGGTTTCAGCAGAAGCGGGTCAATCTTCGCCTCGCATGCTTGCACGCTAGGGCCTCACTCATTTGCCAAACTGTGAGTAGCCTAGCCAACACTATTACCCAATTACTGCGTTCTCAATTATTAGCCCAATAGCACGCTTACTGCTAAAGGCCAGGCCATTTATTATTAGGCCAAAATACTCAAATGCTTAAAATATACTCATTGGTTTGCTATAATAATACTTTTATCATATATGCAAACAAATACATACTTTACATGCAATAAAAGTGACTAAAAGGCTATGTACCGTGCGCGCATGCATTCATCAGGTGTGGTGCACGGGAGAAGATAGCGCAATGACCGTGCACCCGCGTGGCAGTGGTGAGTGCCAGGTGAAGTAAAAAAGATTCGCAAAGTCCCTACAAAAAGCGCTGGTCGTGAAGCCTTCTTTAATATTAAAAATACTATCGTCTCTACTTTAGAAAGTTTGTGGAAAATGGCATCGCCGAGCTCTTACAATTGCGACCTGTGAGGCTTATATTAATAATATTAGTACTATTAATATCGTCTTTACTTTGAAAAGTGTGTGGAAAATAACATTCCAGATCTCTTACAAAATACTGGTCTGTGAAGTCTACATTAAAAATAATAAAAATCTCTATTTTAGAAGGGTGCAGAGATCTTAGAAAATAAAGTGGTTACTGTGCCCGATTTGCAGTACATACGACAGGTTTTGCGCAATAATCAAGTATCTGCGCAGCTCGCCTGGCCGTTTGCATCCAATCGGTGCGTTTCGTGCTCGGCAGAAATGTTTACCTTACGTCCAATCGCGAGGGCGATAGACGGTCTGATCGTGCGACAGATCCAGTCAGTGTCGCAGGTCGGTCGGTATTGCCCAATCAGGGCGCGAGTTAATTGTGTAACGCTTTTGGATATATTTGTAATTTTGGCATAGTTAGGTTGAGTCAGAAAGGTAGGCACGGTCGGTACGATGGGAGAAAACTGTATTAGACAGGCCGACTGTAGTCATGCGAAAAGGCAGGAAAAAGCAGCAAGACGGGGAATGCGACGGACTGACGGACGGACAGACCGACAGGTTACAAGGTTAGAAGCGGGGAGACTAGCGGTCTTGGCGTCCGCTCCGCGGACGCTAGGGCATGATTGGTTGGTGTAGAGAGGGCCGACCACCTCCGCTGCGCTGCGATGGGCTTAGCTTGTTTAACTCAAAGCAACATAAAATATATATTCCGTGTTCTACTTATGTTATGATCCAAAACAACACCGCACACAATATCCTGAGTGCTCACATATTATGGTAGACATGACCAGGGTTTAACGTGATCTGGTACTGACGACAAACAATACGACGCTGACCTACCTGGATATGGGCAACAACGGACTTACCAGTGTCGGCATGACACCACTGCTGAAGGCTCAATCGATGACACAACTTCACCTGTTAAACAACAAACTGGGCGAGGGATTGAGTGAGTTATTACCTGCACTACTGGCCAATCCAGTCATCGAAACGTTTGGCATCGGTGCCAACCAGTTGCACGAGGCACTAAGTGTCACGATGTTGGACGCGCTGCACTCGCATCCGTCTTTGAAGACGCTCGAGATGGGAGGAAACACGCTGGGCATAGCAGGACACGACGCTCTCGACAAGCTGAAGGAGGCCAACCGCGGACTAGATGTTGCTGTGGACAAGAACGCGCAAAACGAGGACGGTAGCTTTGATTTCCAGAACCAGCAGTAGAAGACTCTGGCGCTAGAGTGCTCTGCTTCTGGGCTGTATTGTTAAATAGAGGGACGCAACAACGGTCGCTGTCCTGGACAACGGCAAATTCTTCCAGCGGCACTTTCGTCGTAATTCTTACTCTTCGATTTGCTTCGTGTCGTTCACACGCACGTTCGCAAACGCTTGTTCGATGGAGTCCACCGACAGCGCCTGTCGAAATTGCACGAGGTCTTCGTGCATGTCTTGCTGCCATTTCTGCACTTCAACGTGCAGTGCTTGCAGCTGCGTCAAAGCATTCGCTTCGTCTTCTTCAGTCAGTTTGCGGACGTATTCGCTCCAAACAGCGTAGTCCTTCTCCAGCTGAAGCACTTTCTTGTGAGACTCGGCGATACTCGACTCGAACCTCCCAATACGCTCTCTCAGATCCAAATGATACTCGTGGGACTCGCTCACTTTCTTTGCGGCGTACAGGATGCCAGAAATGCAGAAAATCGCCGAAAGCAGCATGATAAGCGAGATACCGAAGGAGTACATCCAGCTCAATTTAACTGTCGGCGGATTTCTTTCAGGTGTAGGCC